ATAAGCTCTCCCAAACCCGCAATCTTCAAGCAGCAACTCTAATGACATGTTAACTAATACAAGGGTTAGCCGACAACTTTTTTATTTCTTGAAAAATAAATAGTTAGATGAATTTAATTACATCTATTCTCTTTTAAATATTTAATAGTTTTATTTTATTTGAATAAATTACAATTAATTTAGTCAATAATACAAATAAAATAAGAATAAATAGAAAGATAATTACTAAAGATGTCAAATAAGCTAGGTAGCCCATGATACAACATGATTCGGCATGGTATGGATCGTACTTAACCCATTGCTATAATCACGAGTTGTGTTAAGCAAAACTCATATATTTGTGATGTATTGGACTATAGATTTTAGACCATTGGACTTGCACGGCAAGACCTATCAAGGGCTAGTGCCAACACATGGAACATGGGCTAACATGACATGACGCACAAGCACTAATGTGTCATGTTGTACCAGTCCATAATTATTATAAATGAGTTTAGTCTATAGGTCTTTAATTGTATTTTATGTTACTTTTATCATATGATGGATGCTCTTTTGTTTGTTTGATACTTTATGTTAGTAGTTTATAGAAATTAAATTATATCAATAAATCTACTTATAAAATATTTAAACTATTAATAGATAAAATTATAATTTTTTTCATTTTGATTTATCATTTTCTAAAAAAATATATGAAATATATATTACTTAAATATTGATTATGAAAAAACCAAGAATAAGACAAAACACATGATATAAAATGAATCATTATATGATGAAAGTGAGAAATAAACTAATAATGTGATATGCATTTCTTTTTTAATTTAGAGATGTAATATTAGTATTTGTTAATTTTCATATATTATTTTTGTGTATTCTTTTAACCTTTATTGATAAACATAGATATTTTGTTGAACTATATGAATTATTTGCATCACATATTAATTTCATATATTAGTTTTAAAGATAATTGAAAAACAAAGAAAAAAATTTTCTAAATAAAATTTAAGAAATTATAAATGAACTGTGCTTGGCCCGATACGGCATAAAGAATAGTATCGTGATAGGCATGGCATGACCCGTAAGGGTTATAAGCAATGTGTCCTACTGAATCAAACTCTTAATTTTTATGGACTATGACAACATTATAAGTTAAATAATAATGCTAAGTTAAAATAATCTATTAACACATGGGCTAATTTTTTAAGGATCGTACTAGTCTAGCATGTCTCATTTGACACTTTTATTAATTACCCATGAATATATTTTCTATCTTCTAATTAGTGCATTTGAATAAGGTTTTTCTTTTTTTTTTTTTTTTGCTTTTAAGCACTCTAATAGACATTGTAAAATATTAGTAAATTATTAATATGGCAGTTTTATAGCATTTCATATTATGTTCATACTTTCATTTCAGATTTTTAGTTAATATTATATTCTTATATAAATATATAAAAGTTAAATTTTTAATAATAAAAAAAATCCAATATGTATGATTTATTTTTTGACATGTAAATTGCCTAAATTAATGCCATATATAATGTGTCCATCAAATAATGTAAAATTTTACTATTAATTATCTAAATTATTTTAAATTAATTGGTTATCAAAATTAAATTGCGATTTACCATATTATTACTTTGACAAGTTCACTAATTTAAAAGAATTCCTAATTATTACTCATAAATTATGTTAAAAAATTATAACTTTTATATGTATAAATTTAATATAATATAATAAATATATAAAAACTTACTTTAATTTATATTGTTTTCTTTCTACTTTTAGTTAGACAAATTAAATTTCTCATTTCACTATCAAGTGGGTGTAATTTTAGGTTTGATTTTGACAAAAATTAATTTAATTGTAGATATTCTATTTCCATATGATAATGCATATATTTAATGATTTTTTTTTGGCATGTTAGAAAATACTATATTTTCTAAGCCTAAGGTAGATAAATACTATATTTAATTATTACTCTTAATTTAATTGAGTCGACCATCCATATTCAATTATTGTTTACTTCTATGTATAACCTCATATCTGTAAAACGGTGTCCTTCCTTTCATATACTTTGATAAAAACTACAACTGTCTACTTTTTCTTTTTATTATCTCTCATAGCTATTATCATTCGTATTTTTCGTTAGTTTGTTATAGTTTCATTGATCTTGACTATTCTTTTTATTCTTATTAATTGCTACTTTTTTAAAATGCACTTTTGATTCAATCAATGTCAAGGTGATTTTATATGTAAATGTAAAATTATATTTCAAATATGAGTGTTTTTTTTTTAATAATTGTGGTTATATATTTGAATTGAGTATTATTTTATTTTTTATAATATTTGTTTATGATTATTTGGGTATATATACAATGCCTCACTTATTTTATTTGAATTGAGTGTTACTTTATTTAATTTACTTTGGTCTGTCGTTAATTGGCTTATGACTTTTAAAATGAAAAAACAAGCTAATGATTTAAGGCTAAAATATTAAAAAAGTCTTTGAATTATTTCATATTTTAAAATAAATTTTTATATTTTTATTATATTCAAATAAGTTCTTATATTTTGATTTATATTCAAATAAACCATTATTTCAAATAAAAGAATTATTTATGTTAAGGGTTTATTTAGGTACAAATTAAAAGTTTAAGTATTTATTTAAATATAAATTAAAAGTTAAGGACTTATCTGAGTGTAAATTAAAAATTAAGGGCTTATCTCAATGCAATAAAAATATAAATGCTGATTTAAGTAAATATGTAAAACTTAAGGTTTTTTTATTATTATTTTAGCCATGATTTAAAAATTTTTTTAAGCACTTTCATGCTATTTCTTTTAATTCATAAGATTACATTTTAATTCATAATTAGTTCTCCATTGAAAAACTTGCACCAACGTATGTCTATACGAAAAGTACGAAAAAATTACGTACAGAAGATTGATTTTAAGTGGAAAAAATCTTCATTATTTGAAATAAAATATTATTCAAATTTTTTTTAATATCATTATATGAGATATGATGCCAAAGCATGTTTCATTAAAATTTAGTATGTAGCTACATATTGATTTACAATATCGATTTTTCCCGTACTTATTTTACATTGAAATTTTTTTATATTCTTATATAAAATTTATTAATTATATTGTAATTGAAATTTTGTATTTATAATTGCACCCATGCACAATGATGGATTCAAGATTTTAAGTTAGGGGACCAAACTAAATAACATATTTTAGCATATAATATGTTATTATTTTATCAAAAGTAATAAAAAAATTGGGTGAAATATGATATTCCGTAATGTAAATATAAACAACATACATAAAAAAATTTAAGTATTGAAATAAAAAATTATTAAAAATGAAAAAAACCCAAATAATTTTATTTAAAATTGTGAACGCGATCTTTCATAAAAAATATATATATTTGACTGAAAAGTTTTAGCAAAATCTCTCACAATGTAGAGAACAAAATTATCCACAAGGAATTTTTCTCCCGTTTTGCTGCGAAACTTTGTTTTAACAATTTTTATCATTGAAAAAAATATTTTTTAAGTATTGCAATATAAATCTTAAGAGTCAATAAAAGATCTTCAACCTATCAACAAGAAAATATATATTAACTTAATCATTCTTCACAAATTACCTAAAATATTAGTAATGAACAAAACTTGAACTATATTAATTATTTATTTATTTTAAATTTTAAGTAATATTTTGTATGATAATATTCATTTATGGTATAAAATAATAATTAAGTAAAGTTATAAGATTGTAAGAATCAAACATATGTTTAACGAGTTTTTTTAACATATATCTAATGTAACAAGTTTAAATCAATAACATATACAAAATAATTTAATGAAAACAAAAATCAAATAATTTATTCCATTATATAAAACAATATGGATTTTTGATTTTAATCTTCTATGCAAAAAAAAAAGCAGTTTCATACACTACTGACATGTATACATCATCATAAATATATGATAACTTTTTCGGATTTAAAATTTTAAAAATAAAATTATAATTTATTATTAGTAGCTTCAAAATCGAATGACCAAAGAAAAAGTTTTAAATATTATATCATCGGTGTGATTGACTTTCTAACAAAACAAAAATACACATTCTTTTAAATAACCTATAATGTTTGCGTGTTGAGTTCAAGTTTCTATATAATAAGATTTGTTGATTTGTGTCTCTTTTTATTTTATTAATCTTTTTTTTATTTTTTAAAAAATTTTAACCTTTTAACGTCGGTGGTATTTAAAAAATATATTATTTTTTAGTTTTTAATAAGAATTAAACTATTAAATCTTATATTTATTATAAATTAATTAAATTTGAAAATTAATTTTTATCTTAAAAGTTAAACATTTATAATCACGAGACAACAACTTTTTATTGTCTTAGAGAGATATTTTTATTTTTTGAAAGGGGTATTTGTAAATTATATACATATTTATTAAAAGTATTGAAAAATCTTGGGGCTATGGCCCTTTGGCTTTAATGTGGCTTTGTTAATGTTTTTGAATCGCACGGTTTTAAAATTAATTTAGCATAAAACTTAGTCTCTTTTTGCATTTTTTTAGAAAGCTTTTTATAATAAAAAATATAAATTTAATAATTTAAAATTTGATATAAACATTATACGAAAAAAAATTTTAATATATATATTTAATAAAATTAAATATATATTTTATATTTTTATATTAATACAGATACATGATTTTTATATAAAATTATTTTATATGATATGAATTCACTAATCATTAAATATAAAAAATTATAAAATTGTATGCTTATACTTGTCAAGATCCCAAACAGCCAACAGGACAGTTCTAACGTTCGATTTCGCCAGTCCCTTCACTTTCCCCCCATACCAAAACATTTGAAATTCCAGTTCACAAATGACAAAGCAAACGCCTACATTCTCTTCTTCTTAAAAATCAAAATTATTTCCAAATATCAAATTACTAAAAAAGGATCAAAATCAAAATTATTTCCAAATATCAAATTCCAATTTCATTCATACAGTAATTAACAAAATCAATCAAATCCTTATAATCACAACGACTCCTCTTCTTCTCCGTGTGCATGTGGCCATGGAAGAAGCCGACTCGGCTGACGTAGCATCTCCATCTCGGGTCTGTCTTTCCTCATTCTCTCCTTGCCCTCGCCGCCTTTCCACCTACTTCCCCCAGCCGAGACTGCCGGTTGTTTCTTCCTCTAGGCGGCTGGCCTGGGTGTCCCTCCAGGGGTGCCTTGTCAATGCCGAGGAAGCCAGCTCGGCTCGTGCTATAGGAGGCGGCTTGAGTCGAGAAGAGGCCTTGGCCTGGGAGCTCTTTAATCCCATTGAAAGGTTCTTGATCGTAGCGGTGATCGGAGTGGCAACCGTGGAGTCTAAGAAGAATCGGCTGTTATGCCAACTCAAAAAATCCGTCGAGCTAAGGGTTTGTTTTCTGCTTTTATTTTAATTCCTGTTTAAATTATTAGCAATTAGCAACTGTTTGGATAATTCTTTTTTTTTTTAAGTTTAATTTTACAGTGACGTCTCGTCAAAATTCTAGTATAATAATTCTCCCGGACTCGAGTATGTGAGATCATTACTTCTTTTTTTTTTTTTTCCTGAAAGATCATTACTCAAGTGGCTCTTTTATTTATTTCTTAGTGCAGTTTTAGTGTTCAATTAACTCAAATAACTTGTTAATCTAATGAAGTTTTAATTCCGTTTATGTTTGATTGCTAAGCTGTTTTATGATTACCAACATAGCTCTATTAAAGGTATTATCAATTTATCAGTTGCAGATATACTTGCTCAAGTTAATTACCTTGTAACTGTTGTTTTTCATTTCTCTCTTTTCCTTTTATTTTGAATATCATACCCTTTCTTATATATTGCTAACACTTAAATTCAAGTTTAGAAAAAAAATCTTTCACTGTTGAATTTTGAAAATCCAAACGTTTTTGTGAGTGATCCAGTGTGCAGAATTGTCATGATCCAAATTGATGTAATTTCCTATAAATGGGTTTGCAGGATCAGGTGCTTTCAAGCTTTCAGCAAAAGGTAGAGAATCTCTGTGAACAGCTGAATAACGCTGAGGAGAAACACGGGACAGGGCCCAAAACAAAAGTAGAATCACCATTGAATGAAACTTTTGGCTCTGGAATTGTAAAGTTTGTTGACTGTGGTTGTTGGATTTGTGATCAACACCGTGAACAACTTAAAGTAAGAATCTGGTTTATGGCACTTGCAAATAAATTATCTTCTTTGGTCACTTGATTGAACTGATTTTAATTACCCTTGTTTATTGATGTGTCAGGGTAATTCTATGATGAAAACATCTGGTGGGAATGAGATGCCCCAGTATAACATGGCATTGCCTAATGAGGCCGAACAAGAGGAGCGCCGCATGTCTGATTTATCAGACTGGGCTTCAAGTGTCACATCTGCATCTGAAATCCAGGTGATGGAGGATTTATGTATTTTGGAGTGCTGAAATCCAATTTGTAATTAATGCCAATGGCTTCAAGTTAACTTTAATTTGATGTTGTGCATACTTTTTTTTTTTTTCAGTTGAACAACCTTGCAATAGAACAAGATATCTTCAACTTTAAGAGAGACTGTGAAGAAAAGGATGCAGTAATAAGGGAGCTAACTACTTTTGCCCAGTCGTCCAATATCGCTAGTTCAAAGGTAATGTTTCATTTGTGTTCACCTTTTTTGGCGATACCTTTTCCTTCATTTACTTTGAGTGAAAACTTTTCCTGATAACAGAGGATATCGGAGTTGGAGGACATTATACGAAGGAAGAGCACAATAATCACAAGATTGAAGAAGGACATGCTGGTTCTAGAACAAAAGGTGAGCAGTTGTTAGCAGCTATATTTTTTTAAATTTAAGGAATAATTAAAATTAACTCAACTAATCTCAGAAGTTATCCAGCAGTCTACTTCTTCCATTTGTTTCTTTTAACCAGGGCAATTCTTTCTTTCATCAAGTTATATAGAATGATGTGATCAACTTTAGAGACTAATCCTTTGATAAAGATCTTGAATTATGAACTTTGTGCATATTATCGAAATTAAGGTTATTAATCAGTTTTTGCATGTGTGGAAAGGAAAGATACATTAATAATTGTGAATTTTTTGAGAATATGCATAAGTTATGGCTTGCCTTCATCATGTTCATGTATCATGTATCATGTATCATTCATGTGATAATGACTTGTTCGCAATAGTTTATGGTTTGTGATTAGCTCGTCTTGATGAGGTTCTAGTATGATTGATGTATTAGTCGCTTAAATGATGCCTTTGGTTGTGTTGTCCTAGACTCCAATCATATATTGTTTTACTTACAGGTTGTCCACCTGACAAGGCTTCAGAGACCTTCCTCCTCTACCTCAAGTCCAAACTGTTGGCAAACTCCAGTCATGACGGATAACGTCCTTTATGACATGGATAGTACTACTAGCCCTTCCTCTTCTGATTCAGATTGCTCACCAAAGAACTGTCCTCAAGCTCTAGTTCCTACAGATGAGGAAGTTGATATAAAGAGAGAGCAGAAATCATCACCTGCAAAAGTTTCAAGCTCTTTTATGAGACAAACTGAATGGCATTCAAAGTCTCGACCGGCTACTCCACTGAAAGAAATATCAACGAATCACAAGCCTAATACACCTTCTTCAAGGCCAAGGCAAGTATCCGCGATTGGAAAGTCAAATAGGATTTGGAGACAAGCTCAAAATGCATCCAAAGTTTCTACCACAAAGAAGAGATGGACTTAGTAAGTAATTAAAAATTTTGGTGATTTAATACGAATTAGTTCCAATGACATTTTGAATAAAACCCAACCCAGCTGGGTACCTAGACTGGTCAACCGGGCGACCCAGCCACCAACTAGGACCAGGATTCTAATTGGACTTTACCTTCATCTAAACCGGTCAAACATCAGGCTTCTAATTGATGCTGCCTTTCCCTCTAACATCTTTCATCCTTGGCATTGTCGAAGGCTCATAGAATAAGAACCAAGAAAAAAAACTTAGAGAGTTAGAATTTAAAATGAATATGCGTAAAAGGTAGGAGATTTTTTTTTTCATTGTGAAAAGAGGAAAAAGTGATGTGGTAAAAATAAATGTAGTTGGAAATAATGGAGATATCCACTACTTTTTAAGTAGTGGAGAGGATCCTCTCCTAGTTCCTAGACCCTTATTAAGTACTTTTACCATGCTTGCTTTACCCAATTTTGTTAATGATTTTTGAAAAGAACATTTCTTGTCTATAAAAAAATTTCTGCTAGGCAGATACACTTTCAGTTTTGTTCTTGATACTTTTATTTTGGATAAATTGGCTATTGTTTCTTAATCTTGTTGCCATAATTTTATTGAACTATTGAAAACAATTTCTCAATCTGGGTATCAAAACTAAGTTTCAAATAGTATTAATTTCATCAAAAAATTAATAGTGGATTAATTATTGAAAGCAAGCATTTTCTTATAATTCTAATATTTCTATGATTTTTTTGTACTTGTTTTGGTGATTAGCAGAACTTGGCCAAATGAATATGCTTCAGAACTTTAATAGGGCCGCGCTTCAATTTTCATTGCAGTCAAAGAAATCAAAACTTTTGTGATATTTGTTTTAACGTCGGTAAAAGATTTTTATGAATTTTATCCGTTTCTAACATATTCTTTTGTGTAACTTTTCTCTTAGGTTGCTGCACCATTGCATCTGTAGAGGGATATGTGCTGATGTATCCGCAATTGAGATTGATGTGTAGAAGATATATTATACAGGCTAGTACATATCAATATGTTCAGAAAAGTTCTGCTTTATATATTTGTGTTTATTTCTGTTACCCTTAGTAAGTCTTCTGAATTTCAGAAGGGTAGTAATTTGAATTCAGTATGTCTTAAGAGTATATTTCATGGATGTTTTCCTGGTTATTCTCATACAAAAATGCACTTAAGCAATTATACTATTATCATGTTAGATTTTAAGTATTTTAGAACCATAGCATTCTGAACTTGGTGAGAGTTATTTTGGAGAAAATTAAATGTCTGTAAATGAACATTTTAGGGTGATTAAAAATGTTTGCATCCTTAAGGCATCTTATGCAAAATTAAATTATTTCATTGTATTTCTCGCAGCATCAACTTAAGTAGTTAAAATGATGTTTACTATTTTCTTCCTCCAACGTTTAGAAGTTTGCAACATCTCACATGTTTCTGCTGCTGGATTGCAATGGTGATCATTGATCACTGTTGCATTTCATGCTTATTTCTCCTTTGGAAACTTACCATATCAAAGTCAATGATAGTGTACTTTCAAAGTTCAAGGTAAATACTAAGAAATTGTTTGTCCTCCTTTCATTGATGATTACCTATCTTTTGTGAATCACACCTGCCTATGTTTTTCATCATTTGCTTCCATTTCTTTAGATGTGGATTTAGGATCTTATCTACTTTCAACCAATAAGACACCGGACTCACGTTATTAATTTTTATTGCTTTCACTAGTTATCACTCAATTCTCTAAAGGCCATGTGTAGTAACACAAGTTTTTGAATTGATCAACTAGTCTAAGTTCAATTCTCCATTCTCTCATGTAGTCTAGTTACAAGTCAAAGGTTACACACATCGCATTTTTCTTTATGAAAACAAAATTTACACCTTGCATATGTAGAAAGGCACTTCGGATTTTTTTGACTAGATCAAATTTTAATCTTAAATATTAGTTTAAGTTGCATTATTGTTGAAAAGTAAGAGATGAAAAAAAAAAATGTGCAGTGACTTGGTCACGAAAGATGTTGAAGGAAATATGAGTGATGAGCTGATTTGGAATGAAGTGATTCTTCATAGAGTTTTTTATTTTCAAGCTGATGGACCCATGGATGGGAAAAAAGGGGAAAGCCACCCCACTAGCAGCAGCCCCACAATCATGAGATTCATGAAATTTGCTAGGTTGTACCTCCAATCAAGAAGCAGAGACTCTTCATAAGGAAAGCCAAGTTTGAATTTGGCGTAAAAACCAATGAGAGTTGATTCTGCTGAATGAACTTTCGTGGATCCAGTCGATTCTAAAATTATGAATTAAATAATGCCAATTGTGGAGTATTGGCAAGCATAATATGGACTGCCCAAAAAAAAAAGCTTAAGAATTGTAGCCCTTTTTGATCAAGAATCTTTTCTACGCGTCCCTCATTTCTCACCAAAACCTTTTTGATCCTTGCAAATGGAAAACCTCTACCCCCAAATTCTGTCCCGGTTGGTGCCCCATTAACTTCTATTCAGCACCCTTGACTGGCGTTTAATTTGGAGAAAAATAATGCAAAATTCATCAATTACATCCAATATAAAAAAACATAAACCCACAAAATCCCAATTACGTCCAGAGACTCCAGATAAGGTTGGACAAAGAAAATCATGGTAGAATAAATGTTTAATTAAACTCTTCAATTGATTATAGTGTCACTTGAAGTTCAATCTTTCACATCTTTTTCAATTTGTTTTACTTATTTTGGATGAATAAAAAACAATATACTAACTTTAATCACAATATAAGAGCAACACAACAGCACTAAACAAACATTCACATAATAAAACATCACACAATTAAGAAAGAACATCCTTTGTCACATAATCATCAGGAACCATTTGAAGAGCAAAAAAACAGAAATTTTCTTTTCATGATCCTTCTATATTCCATGCTCTATAATTTTCAGAATGTAAATACTCTAATTAGTCCAGAATTTTAATTAGATTTGATTGTTTTTTAATTTTTATTTTATTTTATTTTTTATTTTAGTTGTTAAAAAAATTGAAATTACAAAAGGGAGAATCAAATTGGATAAAATTCTTAGAATTGTGTTGGATTTAAAATTTTTGCTACACTTTTGGTTGGATTTTAAATCCTAATATATATATAATGTATTTGATTTTATTTTTGGGAGTAATCCAAATGGGATTAGAGTTAAATTCTAAAACTAAATTCTTGAGAAAGTAAATCAGGAGAAGTTCGTGTTCCATTTAATTTAGGATTAGGTCTCTATTAAGAATCCACACAAGCAAATGCGGAATCAATCAACAATCAGTAAGGAAATAGGCAAACAAAAAAATATATATAATTTGATACTATTCTTTTTGATAAATTCTTAGTGGTGAAATTCAGGGGTTGATTCTATATCTAGGCTTAGTTGTAGAGATTAAGGAGAGTTAAATTCAACAGATAACAACTGGTAGACAAGTAAAATTCAATTTTAGTTTTTTCGTAGTGTAATTGATTGGATTAGTTTAGTTTAGGTTCTCGGACTAGATTTTGGGAGAAATAATTTGGCTAATGAATTCTGGGAGTCTAAAAGTATAGGGAAATTTTGGAGAAAAAAATTTGGGATTCTTTTGAAAATTTTTGAAAAATCTTGAATTTTAGGTAGGTTTTGAAGTTTTCGCTGAAGATTTCAATCAAATTTTGAATTTTTCAGTGTTCTTTCGATTATTTTGGTGCCAATAACTAGGATTCTTAGAGAGATGTCATAGAGAATCGAGGTACAGAAAGAAGGAAATGTAAAAAACCGAAGGAAAAAAAAAAAAACATTTATCAATATAAATACCTTGGTTGAAATGACACGATTTCAAGTGTACAAAAAAAAAAATCTAAAGATTTGTGTCTTGAATCGATAAGATTCGTTTGCCGACCAAGTGGAACCTGACTCGTTCAATAGGTTTCTTTATTTTACTATTTTCTTTTGTTTTTTAGGTTTTTATTTTATTTTTTATTATTTATTTATTTGTTATCTAACTTTTATTTATATTTCAAACCTTTTTTTCTTTTCTATTTTTAGTAATTTATTTCATTTATTTATTATCTAACCCTTTTATTTTTTTATATATAATTTATTTATTTATTTATTTAACCCTGTTTTATGTGTTGTGATATTTATTTTAAAATTTTGTAAATAAGGTCATGCGATTACTTTATTATGTCATTTTAATTATAAATAAGATTTTTGCGATGATGAAATTAAGAGGGAAATACAAAGGTAATCACTTCAAAATTTCTAAGTAAGGAATTCTTTTTCAATAATTTTACCAAGCTTAATAGGAAGAATTTTTTGGAATTTTCTAATAAAAGATATTTTTATAAAATAAAATTTAGATTAATTAATAAAAAACAACAAAAATAAACAAATAAAACCATTAAATTAAGACCAATGTTAGGATATTATATGATTAATTAATACCATATTTAGAATAGGCATTGTGAGGATGCTGAAATTTTTTCATACATAACCTAACTCTCGAATCTTGTTTTTAACATAGACCAAAACCTATTCTTTTAGGAATTCTTAATCAAGCTTATAACCTCCTCAAAAGGCTAGATTCATCTAGATGGTTAGTCATATGTACTTAAAAAAAATTAGTAGCAACTATAATTTTGTATTTAATAATCGAGTTTTCAAACTTGAACATTATAATAGTTGACAATTCCATTATCAAAAACCTTTTCATACATAGCCTAACTTTCAAATTTAGTTCTAAAACGTAAACCAGAATCTATTTTTTTAAGGACCTTTAGTCAAGCTTATAGTATCTTTAAAATGATAGATTCACTTAAGTAGTCAGTCACACTTAAAAAAAATTAGTATCAACTACATAATTTTGTGTCTAATAATCGAGTTTTTGAACTTAAACATTATGACAGTTGACAATTCCACTGGGGATTTCAAAAGTCGAGCTAGAAATTGATTTTATATTAACCTATATTTTGGTTGAATGGTCTTGATTTCTTTTAATGTATATAAATTTTTATTTTATTTTAATTTATTTATTTATTTACTTTTGTAAATAATGGTGGGACATTTAAAGGGTTTGTTCCTTAACATACACTATCTCATGCATATGCATAATATAAGCTTTACATTTATATTTCGTTATTTTTAAAAAAGGGTAAAGTATGCTTTTTGAAGTGTTAACCTTAGTAATGGCTAGCGAAACGCTCTTATTCAAAGAAAACTCTTTCCATTTGTAGCCTGTCATAACGTATAAGTCCATAAACCTATTGTTGACACAACTTAGGAGTCACCATAAATCTTTTTTATTTAAGTGCAATTAGTCATCTAACTGAATTTATCTCCTTTTAAAGAGAAGTTCTAAGCTCAACTCAGGTTCCTTAAAAAAGTAGATTCTAGTCTATGAAACTAAAATAGACTTAGTTGTACAATTACGTGTAGGAAAAGTTATGGCACTATTACAACACCCACCCAAAGGATAATACCAGTTGGTTTCATGTTATCCAAAATCTTAAAAGATTTTATCAAGGAATTTAATATTAAAAATTATCCTACAATTACTCCAATATATTGGTAATAATTTTAAAACATTCATCACCTCAAAAGTATTCAAAAGGACTATTTGTCCCGTTCGAAGAGGTTCTATTATCGAATTCATTTAATTTTTATAAAAAATCTTTTATTTATGATAAGTGAAATTTTTTGCGAGAATCTTGATATAGAAAATCTTTTCCAATATGTTGGTGACATTTAGAAAGAATTTTTCACTTATGAATTTATATGAAAATTGATATTTGCAACGTTCTTGTAATTCCATCATTAGATATTCAAAATTAATTTTCATTTTCATAAAATATAGCCTAATATGTTGACAAGATTTTTTGCCCAAACAAAAAAAAATCCTCCAATATATTGGTAGGATTTTACGCAAACTATTTTCCCTTCCGAACATATTATTTTTTTAATATTATTTTTTAAACTAATAATATTTTTCAATATATTAGTAAAATCTTATTTTTAGACATTTTAAAAATTACAAAACCCTCCAATTTATTGGTAAGATTTTTATTTTTGTCTTTTTTTTTTAATTCTTTTCAAACTTTTAACTTTTCAATATGTGGATAAGGTTTTATTTTTTTCAAAAATTTTCTAAATTTCAAACCTTCCAATATGTTTGAAAAATATATTCATTTTTCAAAAAGTATTTTTTTCTTAAACAAACATTTTTATTTTAAATAAATAAACTAAATATACCTAAAATTTTTTACTTAGCTCGACTTAAAAAATGACTTGACTCATGACTAGTGTAACGACTCGATTTGGCTCGACAACTCGATTTAGTAGTAGCTCAACAGATGATAAATCTTGACTCAGACGC